AATGGTCCATGCCATGACTAATGTCACTGATTTCTTACAAAATGATGCTGTTTTCTTGCCACAACAAACTGTCCACAATCTCTTTTATGTTGAAGATCATTCCTCTGGCCCCGTGCTGCAGCAAGACAATGTACCAACACTCTGCGACCCTCTCCTTTGCACAGCCACAAACACTGTTACACTCGGCCGTAGCCATCATCGTCTCTGTCACAATCTCTACAATGACATGGTTTCTGCATCCATGTGTGCAAAGGACTGTCCCACCATTCCTGACTGCAGGCACCCTCAGTATCCGGACACTATATGTCCATTTTGCAGCCATGGGCGCTATACTGAATGCATGTTTTTTTGTGGTGACCGTTCCTCTTTCATTCTGGCCTGCAATCGACATGCCATTTGTCGGGGGTGTATGTTGGGCATGCTCAATGCCACCTGTCATGGCAATTGTTGCACTGAGAATGCTTAGCTAGGTCTTCCATGTGTTAATCCACCTCATCCTTACAATGTATGTCCTCTCTGTCGTCAAGGACAGACTCATTATTGAGCCTTTTTTTTTTTTTTTTTTTTTTTTTTTTTTTTTTTTTTTTTTTTTTTTTTTTTTTTTTTTTTTGCATACTCGGGGAGGCTCCATCTATTGGTGGGGAGCAACACCTGCTGGAAACCGGGTCCAGCGTTTTCTTATCCTCTTTTGCCTTCATCTTCACTCCACACTCCATACCTACCCTTACTTTCCCTTTATCGTTCTTTGTGTGTCTTCTCTCCATCTCTCCTCCATGTGTGTATCCCCTCCCCCTTCACTCTGCCTCTTTCTCACAGCGTACAAGTGGGCTGTTATGGCACACGGGGATGGGGGAAGCTCGCGCTCAACTTCATCAACGTGGCGAGCCTTGTACGTGAGAGGCACGGTGAAAGGGGAGTCAAAAGAAGAATGAGAAAAATGAATGGTTTCACTGTGCCCTTCATGTTTGTCTTATTTTTTTATTTTTTTATTTTTGCCGTTTGTTTCGCAAGTGCGCTCTTTAGTTCATAGTTATGTGACAATATATATATATATATAGATATATAGATATATATATGTATATATATACTAGGCTGGTCCCCGGGCCGCCCGGCGGCCTGGTGGTCGCCCAGGGGGGGGGCCGGGCCGCCTGGCCGGTTGTTCCGCCCGGTTGGCCACCAGGCGACCCCAGCGCATCCCAGTAGGGGGGGGGGTTACAGCCGTTTTCGACGCGGGGGACCTTCTTCCCCCCAAGGGAGGCCGGCCAGGCCAACAGAGTTGAAAAAAAAAGGGCCGGTAGGCCCGATTTCAAGAATTCGAAATCGGGGCCCATCTGCGCCGTCGATCTCCAGGATCGACAGCCCAGCCTGAGGGCGGGAACCACCGGCCCTCGTCCCCTCCCCCGTGAGCTCTCCTGCCCGACGCCGCACTTCGCCCGACGCCACAGTTCGATGGGAGCTCCGCCAACGCCCGCCGCGCGCCGCCTCACTTCCGCCCATCGCGCTGTCGCACCAAGGTAAGTGGGTTAGTAGTAGTAGAGAGAGAGAGAGAGAGAGAGAGAGAGAGAGAGAGAGAGAGAGAGAGAGAGAGAGAGAGAGAGAGAGAGAGAGA